CGGGCCCGGCCGCCCGCCTGGGCCGGGGGGGCTGCCCGCCGGTTCCTGTAGCAGGTGGCTTTAAACGCGTGTTGAACGCTGTGGGCCTGAGCTCCAGCCCGGGCCTGGCCAGAGCGGCTCCCGGGCTGCCCCTTCGCTCTATGCGCTTGTGTTGAGGGTGGGGATCGCTAAGTAAAACCAGCTATAAGTATTTTTTAAACTAAAAATGCAGTTTGAAGGCGTGCATCTCTAACTGTAGGTGTGTTATTCCACAGACCCTTAAAAAACACTCCTTTTTAAGTTTTCTTGACGTGAAATGGTTAAACTTACCAATGGAAATTTTAAAATAATCAAGAGAAAAAGAATTAATGGCCTAAATTTCTTATACTTTCAAATTGGATAAACTCTAAGTGATTCTGTGGTTCCTTTATGTGTAACAAGCTCAAGACTGATTTATGTATTTTCTTACAGTGGCTTTCAGACAGGAAGAAAAGAGCTTTACAGAAGAAAGATGTGGGTGAGTTTTCCCGTTACAGGGTCCTCAGTGATGCTTGGCTGCACAGACACAACATGCAAGTCCAGAGGGAGACACTTCACTAACTGATACAAGGAAGTTATGCGTAGCTCATGTTTTAAAAACTACGAAATTAAAGCTACAAATAGTTATGGTTAGAAGGCCATACTTCAACTCTCTATACAGCTTTATATAAATAGAATATTACCAATATTGCTTTACATTTCAGGCGTTAAATATTGGGGTTGTAGATTGTACAGAAATGTGGCGGATGGATTCCATCTATAGTTTATGATAAAGTCCAACTATAAACTCCTCTGTGTGTGTTATGCTCATCTTAAAGTGCAGAAATATCATAATTTTAGCCTAAACTTGTTATCCAAAATAAAATATGGCTATTTACATGCCATAAGAAGGCTTGTATAAAAACCTCAACCAGCTAAAACCGCATAGAGTTAACAGGAAGATGCAATATACTATGCAACATCTTAGTTGTGTAAAATGTGTGGTAAATATTTGCTACTACATTCTATAATAATTTGTTACATAGTACCACCCCAGAATAGGCGTTTATTTTGCGTGGAGGTAGCCTGCATCTCAGGGTTAAGAGACTGTATTAATCTGCTTATAACATGTGTTAATTATACTAAAAGATCTTTATATTTTAAAAGATCTTAAAAGGTATTCCTTATATTCAATTAATTCAACATGCTTCCTTAAGAAACCATTACAGTTTTTTGGGCTGATACAATAGTGGTACCTTTAAAAAATGATTTTATTTTATTTTATTTCTTTATAGATATCCGTAGAAGAATTGAACTTATTCAAGACTTTGAAATGCCCACAGTTAGCACAAAGATTAAGGTATCAAGAGATGGACAATATATTATGGCAGTTGGTGAGTTAACAAAGTGTCTTTCTGTAGCAAAGACCAAAAGTGCTGGAAAATCTTGATTGATAAGAGTTCATTTTTAAATGTAGCATTAAACAGAGTTTTGGAAGCTTAGTCTTAAGATACGATAGAGTGGCTGTCTTGGCAGTGGTGTTGTGAAACACTTCTTTTTAGAATACAGATGTTCTTAGAATCATAGAATCATAGAATGATCTGGATTGGAAGGGACCTTGAAGATCATCTAGTCCAACCTCCCTGCCACTGGGGGTTTATAATACAATTAAAAACTAAACTGTTTATAATACAGTTAAAACTAAGTTCTTAATTATTTTTATTGTGTGTAGATAAATTTGCTTTAAATAACTTCTGAACATCATTGAGTATTTTTTTAAAAGATGAAGGATAATGCTACATTTTGTAACTGTCAAAGCAGGATCCAAACATGAATACTTTAGTAGGCATTAATAGCATAAGGAGACTTGATCTTTCAGACTTACTGGAAGGTATTAAATTCTGGATGATGTATCTGGTAATCAGAAGAATCTACGTACGAATAGGTTGCTTTCAGGCACCAAAGACAAAAACCAGGCTATAACGTCATGTTTCTAAGAGACATGTTTTTCCAGTCACAGAGACTTTGGTAAGATCAAAATACTTATAGCTGAAATGCAGTAAAGCCTGTATATGTAAGACATTATATTTTAAAAAAAAAACGCTTTAATGTTATTTTTTTGTTTAATTTTTTTATTAAAGATCAAATTGTTCTTTCAGGAACTTATAAGCCAAGGATCCGCTGTTTTGATACCTATCAGTTATCCCAGAAATTTGAAAGATGCTTAGATTCTGAAGGTTAGTATAAGCTATGGCTGTTAGTACAAGATATCTTTCATGTATAATTCAGGTTGGACTCAAGTATAAATTTTCCTCCCTGTGCTGAGGGGACACAAGAATCTAGAGTAAAATGTCACTTAGTCTTTTTCTCTGTATTTTTGCCTTTTCCTCCTCCTTCAAAGTTCTTTCTTCTCTTGGAGCGGTGTGAGGAATGTAAGATTTACCAGTAAGCACGGGGCTCAGAGAGTGAATGTGGCTGAAGGCTGCGCTCTGTTTGGGGAATGCTGTGGGGGTACAATGGCTGGGTAGCTGTCAGTTCTTCCTTCTTCCCTCTTCGGTGAAGCAGTAAGATAGGAGAACGCACCGTGGTTGCACCATTGTTACTGAAATGAGTTCTCACTGTTTTCCCACTGGAGCCCAAGCTCAGCAGGTGAGTTACAGGGTAAAGAGAATTCCCTGAGAGTGGTTGTGTTTGTTTGTTTGTTTTCTTGGAAGCAAGGTACTTAGGGATAGATGGTAGCATAGCCAAAGCCCTAATTACACCTTGTTTGCTGCTAATTTGGAGGGAGAACAGCTATGGTGAGGAAAGCAAGGAGCCATCTAGGCAATGGGGAAGGGAGCATCTGCTGGCAGTTAGACTAGGGGAGGAGGTCAGAGCTGCTGTGGCTCTGATTTTTAGGGTGGATAGATTTGAGGAATGGTGCGTAAGTTTTTTTTGCTTTGGTTTGTGGGTTTTGTTTTTTTTTTTTTTAGAAGACTGATGGCTGAAAACTGGGATACGGGGGTGACCAAACCAATGAGGGAATGAGCATAGGGTGGCAGAAATCATTACGGAAGAATGAAACTCGTCTAACTGTGATGTGTGTGAAAGTGATGTGAAAAATAAAAACTGAGGACTACTGAATTAGGTCAGGAAAAGGTGATTAGAGCATGGTAGTGTTTCTTTACCTTGAGCCTCAGGACTACAAGGAGTCATGTAGGGTGAAGGGACAGTGCTGCAACATGGTAAGAGGGGAGATGGTAGGTGTAGGAGTTCAGAGAGGCTGGGGAGAGGAAGGTATGGCAAGAGTGAGACCCGATTTAAAAGAGTGGGAGTCATTGCAATAGTAAATGCTTGCTGGTAATTAGAGCTTAAAATAATTTTTTTTGAACTGGCATCTTACTAGACTGCAGAAGTATGTTTAATTTGAAATGTAGCATAGAGTCACTTCAGGTAACTTTAAATGAGCTACCTCATTTAAATGGAACCAATTTAGCTGAAGCAGCTACTCCCTAATGTTCCCAACCCAGCTCATTTAAAACTAGGCAAAGTTCAATACATTGCGGTGTTCAGCATGGATAGTAGCTTTCAAATTTGTGATTTTTTTTGAGCCTTAAAACTTCTTCTGCGGAAGTGCTTACCCCTTAGAAAGATCACATGTGCAGGTTTGTGCGTAGTATATCCAAACTCGTGTCATTTTTTATCATCTTTGATGGATTACCAAAGGTCCATGGACCACACGCTCACTGAAAACCATTTGATTAGACCTTCCCTGAGCCAATAAATACATAGTTGAGGATTGTGTTGAGGAACGTGTCAAGTATACAAGAACGATAAAAAGATTACAAGATGCTTCATAAGTTTCTAAAGTTTTAGAAAACTACTTACTATTTTGCAAATAAAGTTATATAATTAAAGATTTTATCACAATGACTGTATTATGCATTGACACCTGTGGGGAATACTTATATGACTAAAGGTTAGCATGAGTGTAAATGTTTTCAGGATTTATGCCAATGTTTGCAAATAAGTTTTCTTACTTAGTTAACTTAAAATTCTCTTGCTCTCTCCTCTAGTGGTTACGTTTGAGATTTTATCAGATGATTACTCAAAGGTATGTGTAATGTTTTCAATGTATAAATGAAAAAATTGTTTAATATGTATATTAAAATGCATTTTCATATATAGTAAAGGCAGTCAATCAACACAACTTTTGGAACAGAAAAGTTTTTTTAGAAAAACAAACAGGATAAACATTTTTTGTACCTTCAAAATGTTGTTTGTTTTCTTTGTCTCTTCGTATTATAATTTGCCTTACCACTTTTAAAGTCTTTTGTCTGTAGTACAGAAAAACTTCAAATAATGATCTATCCTACGAACAAAATAATGTGAAAAATGGACTTAGTTATTATTTCTAGTGTAACATTTAGTCACAATCCCTTGTGATGAGTGATACACAGATACACCATTTTTGAGAAGTGGGATTAAGCTAGTAGCTTGATTTGTCAGTGGTGTTGTAGCCATGATGATAATAAGCATATGAATAAGGCAAAAATTGTGGAGAGTAGTTGGTGGTGTTTTTTTTTTGTTTTTTTTTTTTTTTTAATGAAGTGCTGTACCTGGAGGAAACAGTTGAGTTCTTAGGACCATCAGCCCTTTTTCAGGCACAATACAGTGACAATTCTGTTTAACACCTAGAGAAGTGTGTATGTGCTTGAAAGTTCATCTGTTTTCTCCAGCTGCAGCAGTTGGTGTAATAAAAGATGTTAGCTCTTTCTGTAAACTTTGCTTTGTTGATTCATCAAGATGTTATGTTCCAAATTAAATATGAAATTTAAGCATATAATTTTGCTGATTTCATTAGGACAAGCCTTTTTTTTTGTTTTGTTTTGGGTTTTTTTGGGTTTTTTAAGGGTTTCTTTTAATAGTTTTTTTTCTGAGAAGAAACCTTAACACTTCTGGTACAGGTTTGTTTTAATAACTATTTCTATTTGATCAGAGACATTATCATCTAGCCTTCTAGCTTTAGTCTTTTAAGAATTTAGTCTTTTAAAAATTTTTTCCAAGAACGTGCGTGAATTCAAGTAGCAGAAGAAGGTGACTGTTATAGTAGAGAAGCCTCCAACTTGTCTGCAGGACAATGTTTCTGGTTGTAGAGACCAAACAGTTATTTGGGAGACTGAGGAACACATTGTGTTCGTAAATATGTTTCTGACTGGTTACAAACAGTGAGGCTTGTGTGTGTTTTCAGCTGAAATTGCTATTATATTCCAGACTGAAGCCCTACTTTCACAACTTAATACAACCTTATTTTCAACTTTATTTTCCTAAGACTTACCAAATCATTATAAAGAAAACTAATTTCAGGTAGCTGTCATGATGTTTTGAACATGTTAGAAAGAGGGAACAATATTTGAGAAATTACACTTGAAATGCTTAAAATTGATTGGAAGGAGACCTTCAGATGTCATTTAATGCTTGAACAGGACTGTCAAAAACTGCAAGCTTGGAGGTGCCACAAATTCACTGAAGAAATTGTTGCAATACCTCGTCATAAAGAATTTTTCCTTCCTGTCCAACCTGACTGGGATAATCTGAAATTTTCACTGTTGTAACTGCAAAGAGTTTGACTCTCATCATTTTTGTAACTGCACTTCAGTTGCTGGCTGCTACTAGGTTGTCTTACAGGATGCTCTTTGCCTGACTAAACAAGCTAAGATTCTTCCAACCTTTCTTTGTACGTTTTGTGTTCTGCCCCTTGTCTGTCTTGGTAGCCCTCTTGATGCTCTCAACATCCCTTTTGAATTGGGAGGCCCAACACTAGACACACTGCCTCATGCTTTAGTAGCACAGGGAAAATAGCTTCTCTCCAGTCTGCTCCTGCTATCCTTGTAAGGTCGCCTTTTGAGGCTTATTTGCATTTTCACAGTGAGAGCATGCTGTTGCTTTCATTCATACTGGTATCCATATGGCCAGTTACACTTCTGTGCTCTCCTAAGTTTTAGACTTAAAAGTTTTAGACTTGGACTAAGTTTCAGACTTAGGAGAGAGTGACGTTTTTTTCCACAGCCTTTGCAAAAAAACATGTATTTCTGCTTAGTATTTTTGCCACACACTGGTAGCTATGCTTTTGCTACCCTGAGGTTGTAGTGACAGAAATTTAGTATGAAGGAAAGACAAACATGATTTACAGTATCACAGATATTACAGTGTCTCCACTGCTAATGAAAAAGGACACAAATATTTTAAAGTCCAATATTGTAGAATTTTATCTTAAAATAATTATTGAACATTATTAGCAGAATATTTGGTTGCTTTTGGCAACTATCAAAAACTTTCTAAAAACTTTTTGGAGGTAGAGTGGGTGAGAAGAAAATTCACTTTTCCCACTGAAAGCAAACTGCATCTTCTCTCTTGCTGGTAACAGGTTTTTGATGGCTTACTGGTAGTGAATTAAGAGAATGTGATACTGATATTTTTAAATTAAATACAGTTTAATTTTGTGTTCTTCTCATAGTTTATTTAGCTTCTGTACTGTATGAAGATGCAGACATTTCTTCTTTTGCAGTGATGATAGAGAAAAGATTTGATCTGAGCATTGTTTCAAACAGATAAGTAAAGAGCTTTGCCTATAAACCTCCAGTTAAAAGCATAAAGGCATTAGGCACGCAAAGGATTGATTGGGATGTACATGAAAAACATCATTGTATAACATCAACTGTGCAGCTGCATCTGTAATCTCGTATGAAATCGTAGTTACACTTCTGAAAGATGGTACTCTACTTGTCTTGGACCAAGATGAGCGAGTCCATGAATAAAAGTTGAAACACTAGGGTTTCTGATATCAGAAAAAGCATGAGCAAGACACAACTTAATGATAAATAGGCATGAAGTACTAGCTCAGGTCATTACTTTCTCCATGTCTCGTAAGGGAAGAATATACAGATATATAAGTAAAGATGACAGATTCAAAATAACTTTTGTACCTCACCTTTCCTGAGCTTCTCATCCTTATTTGCATTGCTAACAATGTAGTCCAGCAGTAGGAAATTTAAAATCTTCATTATCTATTACTTTTAGAAAATGCATGGACTACATATTCTAAACTAGCACTTTTCTAATCTAACCTAAATAGGGATGAGGCTCAGAGTCAAAAGTTAGCCTGTGATTATCCTATCATTTAATTGTTTGCATGCATCGTGATATGAATTTGGGCCAGGGCAACTGTGCCTGCATCAGACAGTGCCTGAGCATGGTTTGAGGTACAGCATGAGTGTAACAGATGGTGTGGATGATACTGTCTCCATTTGGAGCGGGAAGAATTCCTTCATATGGATATGTGTTGTGCCATGTTAACTTGCCATCGGGACTACAGGGGCAGGTTCTGGCCTATTTTATTTACTAGTATAGATCCAGCCTTCTAGTAATGCCTCCCCGTGGGCTCTTCCAGGGCTGAGATGTATGTATAAGTTTCAGAAAGAAACAATGTGGTTTTTCAGTTGGCAAACAACAAAAAAAAGCATAAAGGTCAAGGTTGGTGTCATTTATTGGAATGCTGCTGTGCATCAGGATGTATAGTATGTGTGCTTAGTACCTATGAACATATTGGTGCCTGCATGGCATTGTACCTGGAAGAAATTATTAGCTCTGGTGTCTGAAAGAGGTACAGATGTTAATTTTGGTGCAGGGTGACACCGAGATGACTATACTGCTTCTGATTGCAGAGTCACTTTCAGGGTATCGCATATACTCTTGTGAATATTCATTTAATCTTTATTAATAAAGCGCTTTGCTGTGGCTAGTGAGAATGATGAAGCACTACTCGATTCTATCATTTTAGTAGAAATGGTTTAAATGGGTTGTGATAAACCAGTGCGAGCCTGAAAAAAAAATCACTGGAGTTTGTGCTGTAAGACAAGTTGAGGAGATTTTTGTCTGCTTCTGTATGTTTCAGTTCTTTCTGTTTTATTTTCAGATTGTCTTCTTGCAGTGTGACAGGTTTGTGGAGTTTCATTCGCAACATGGCCATTACTACAGGACAAGAATACCAAAATTTGGTAGAGATTTCTCTTATCACTATCCATCGTGTGACCTGTATTTTGTAGGAGCAAGGTATTGATTAAGTGGATTATTTTGTTTCACTTTTGTTAGCAATGTTTTCCAAGAATAAAATTAATATGAAAATACCAGAAAAGTTAAAAATTAGAATAAGTGGCGATTCCTTCCAAATTAATAATGGAGACAGTTTGCGAATAGTGGAAAATGTGAGAAGACTAAGATTAATTCAGTTTCCTCTACTGTTTTAAGACTTTTTTTTCTTTGATTCTTAAACCAGGTACATCATGTATTTTCAAATTTGTTACAAAAATTGCAATTCAGTGTACTGTTTTAAAAAGTGGTTAGCATCTAAGTAAGGAAAATTAAATAACTTTTTCTATCCTGGTTGGTGTTTTGTTGCTGTTAAAGTGTGAGTCAAATCATGTAAAATAATTAATTGAGTTTGTGAGAAGATGTAGTAAAAATAAAATGAGGTCTTTAGGCTTTTCAAACAAAATAAGCAGCAATTCAAGATGTAATGTAAATCATAGGAAATTAAAAGATCTTAAGGAAGGGATCAATGCATCTTTTCCCTGGAAAAAGAGTAATTGGTAGGATATTGCAGTGTAATAAATACCTTTGGTGAACATGCACGTTTTTCTCTGTTTTTAACACTGAAGGATAGACGTGACTTATGTTTTAGAATGTGAAGTCTGAAAATTGTATATTTGGTAAAATTAGGCTGTCAGCAAGAATCTTTATAACTCCTCCTAACTTATAACAGTATGTTTCAGTATTTGTAAGGGAAAGGAGTAATTTTGGATTTTTTCTTTGTAGTTCTGAAGTATACAGGCTAAATCTGGAACAAGGAAGGTTTCTCAACTCCCTGCAAACTGACGCTTCGTAAGTTATCTGTAATGCATGACGTCTGTCTGTCTTCTTTCCACCAGGTGGAAGCAAACTACTAGCATGCTCACCATCAGTACTGTATCTGAATACTGCCCAAACGCATTGTAGAGTTGAAAAGGAACATATGCCGAGCCTGAGCCTCATTTTATTTTATGTTCTGTAATTCTTTGTTCAGTTTTTATGTTTTAATTGAGTTTTCTTTTGTGGATATTTTAAAATTGCTTAATACAGACTTGTAGTAGGTATTATATAACTTGATCTTAAGAGCATTTCATTAAAACTTTGCCATTATTGCTCAATTTAGCCATCATATAGAGATCTACCCACAGGGTATGTACTTTCCCAGGCATGTCTTTGTCCTTCTGCTCTTGGAGTAGCCCAAAGAGAATTTTTATATCTCCAGCGTGTGTCGGATTCTTTTGAAAACCTTACCAGAACAGGAGCTGGGCTTCTTTTATGTGGGGAGAGGCAGATGAGAAGAACAGACTTGACTAGATAAAGCAGCTAGTTGGTGGGCAACAGCTGGTGCTCAGTGGGTAGGGTAGTTTAATGGACGAAGGAATATTTGGGCAGGCATAATTACAGAAACTAAGCCTAAGGGTCTTGTGTAAAATCTGAATGAAGGAGATGAGACTTGAAGTTGTGAGAAGGTTGTGAGGGTAGGGGAATTGGATGAGTTACAGAATTAGAGGTGGAGGTCTTTGAATGAAAGACATTAGAAGGCACCAGGATGAGTGGTATAAAGAGAAATATTTGTACTTCGAAAGAATTGTTGGAGAAATACAGGGCTCCTGGGTGCCCTGTTGAGAAACAGGATACTTGGCGGAGGGAAAAGAAGACAGGCCATTCATCAGAACATAAGTAATCAGGAATACCTTTTGACATAATTGAGTTGTTTCAGAATATAGTAGAGCAGAGTGATAAGGAAAGGCTTGGTGGTAGGTGGTGGGTATGGGCAGAGAAACAGAATCATTCAGGTTGGAAAGAACCTCAGAGCCCAGCCTCCTGCTCAAGGCATGGTCACACTGAATTCAGATGAATTTTCCCAGGGGGTCTTGAAAACTCCAAGGATGGAAATTCCACAGCCTCTGTGGGCAATCCGTTCCAGTGCTTAATTATCTGCATGGCATAAAAATATTACCCTTGCATCCAGTTGGAACCTTACCTGTTCCAAGTAATCAGCACTGTCTCTGATGGTTCCAAATTCTTGGTAAGCTCCTCTTAAGTATGGGAAGCTGCTATTAGGTGGCCATCTGTCCCTCCCTCCAGCTTTTGTTTTCCAGGATGAGCAATAGCGTATGTGATTACAGAAATCTTTTTAGTTGTTCATGTGTTAAGTTATTCTGAGGTCATTAAACTTGCTCCTTTTTCTGTTGTAGAGAGAGTAATGTCTGTGACATAAATCCTGTACACTTCTTGTTTGCTATGGGGACGGCTGAGGTAAATGTTTGCATTCCTTTTATAAAAAGGGCAGTAGCATTTGTTTCTTTTTTATATTAGTTTGCATGAGGATAAGAAGAAATCATGATAGGAACCTAATTAATTAATTTGATCTCATTTGCTATATTAAGTATAGATCTGTTAAACAAGATGACTTTTTAGAGCATAATGCAGATACAATTTCTGAGCTACGTGGTTGCTGAGATACTTGAGATTTTGCAGATGAGAGAAAAAATGTTATCTTGCTTTACAATACAGCCATCTGTAGAAATTAGCTAGCATGTGTACCCTATTAATCTTTGGAAATTTAGCGTTAATGATTTTCATTCAGGTCACATTTTTTAAAAATGTAAATGAAACATGTGGAGCTTGTATGCCATTATTAGAACAACTCATGTCAACCTAGGAAATTTGATTAATTATTCATAGATGATATAATTTTATTGAAACGTTTTCTGAATACCAGACATCTGTCGCATAAGCTTGAAATGTATTTTCTAAACTGTTTAGGGTAAAGTGGAATGCTGGGATCCTAGAACTAGAAATCGAGTTGGGCTGTTGGACTGTGCTTTAAGTAGTGTGACAGCAGATACAGAGTGAGTAAAGGCTACCTTTTCAGAGTGTGTTCTTCTGTCTTTTCAGAAGTTTTGCTTTTAGAAACAAATCCCACTTTGCATTAAAATGACCAGCCCATGGTCTTTTCTTCTCATTGCTAGCGTGAATAAATGTTTTTCTTAGTCATAAATGAGTCTCTTAGTTATTGATCTGAGTAGTAGTGGCTAATTTTCTATACAACCGCAAGTTGTGAATGTAAACAATACAGCTTTTTGAAGTAGTATTTCTGAGTGATATCTGTAAATTAATTTACATTCATTATCTTAGCTATTTTTAACATTGAAAAAATCATTTGCAGCCTTTATTGAAAGAATGTCTAACTGTAAGCATTGTGCTTTGCAGGATAGATGGTTTACCATCCATTTCAGCCCTGAAATTTGATGGAGCTTTGAATATGGCTGTTGGAACATCTACTGGGCAGGTAGACTTAACTTCATCTACAACAGCTCTTAGGAGATCCTGTTCTTGCAACTGCCAGTCCAGGTCTATCATACATTGAGTGCACTTATTGTAATGTAAATATATATTAATAAAAGTATTTATTAGAGCATAAATTACATGTATAGAGTAGTGATAGTCATTCTTAAACGGCGAATTAATTTTGTCAAATGGTCTTGCTCTTCAGAATACTATAGGGACCGCTTAAAATTGTTACAACCTACATACTATATAACTTAAAATTCTGCAGTTTTCTTATGACTTAAGAGTCAAGTATGCGGGGAAGTTGCTGCTTTTTGGGACTCTTATCAGTACCATCTCAATGCAACATATATGCTGTCCCTTACCTTGATGGTGGCTAATGAAGTGGAAGTAATTGTCTTTCAACTATTGTTTTTACTGTCTTATCTTTCTAAAAGGGATCATTTAGATTCCTTTATTCATTGTTGCTATCATATTTGTAAAGTGGAGTATGGGAATTTTTTTCTGCCTTCATCAGTATTTTCGTGGGTTTAGAAAACTAGCTTTTTCAAGAGCAGATACGTATGCAAGAGTCGTATTTGTGATGATGTTAGTATACATGTCAGGCAAGTTTTATTGGAGATTATATTTTTTATTAAACAAAGTGATAATATTTTTTTTCCCCAAAATTATTAGTATTCACACTTTGCGTGTGAAAGATTTAAGGTCTTTCTCAAGTTCCATAGGAAACTTTGGAGATAAAAATGCAGGTTTCTGGAAGACAGGGCCTGTACTCTCTACTTTCCTTAAAATAAAAAATTACATTCTGTAATGTTTCACTGAGTGAAAGTGATACTCACTGAATGTGGAAGGGAGTCTGAAAATTTAAATCTTGTAAGAACAGCACAAGAATCTGAAAGTGAAATATTAGTAATTAAGAAATACTAAGAGCCTTGAAAAACGGTTCATTTTTTCCATAGAAATTAAAAAGACTTTAGAAAGATGGTGAGCTCTTAAATTTTCTCTTAATTTTTCTAGACTGAAGCATTCTTACATTAAAATGTATTGTCAGAATAAACTGGGCTCACTTAATAAGCTGTTTTCAGAATTTAAAAGAATTTCTTTTACAGAAATCGTGTTCATGTATTTAAGTAAAAAATCTCAAGTTTAGTTAAATCTTTAGTGAAGATCTGGTGTGCATGACTTCCTCTTGATCTTACAATATTGTAAGTTTAATCTGTCTCTTATTCTTCAAGGTTTTGTTGTATGATCTCCGATCTAGTAATCCATTAATAGTCAAAGATCACCACTATGGCTTGCCTATTAAGTCAATTCAGTTTCAGCGTCAGTTGGATTTAATTATCTCTGCAGATTCTCGAATCATAAAAATGTGGAACAAAGATACGGTAAGTGTTTTTATGTTACTGCATTCAGATTTTTTAATTTTTATTTTCTTTTTTTTTTCATGCAACTTGAATAACAAAGCTGAAATTCAGTGTAGGAAGTTGGGTTTTTAATGTGTCCTAATTTACATAGCATTTTGTCCTGTCTGACTAAATAAACCAACATCTGGGAAGGTATTCAACAGCCTGTCAGGGATAAAGATGGAGTCTTAGGGGTTTTTTTAGCTGTTTGTACATGTCTGCCTAAGATGCTTCTTTCAGTAGAAGGATTTAAACATAAAAAGTAGTATCTTAGCCATTGCCCTGGTTTGTGTATTTCTCACAGTGTGCTTGAACACATCCAGTTATGATTTTTCATCAGAGAAAACATGGTTATTCCAATTCCCTGCTCAAAGAAGGGCTAACTTCAAAGGTAGATCAGTTAGTTTATGACCTATTAAAATCAGGTACTGCTTATTTTCACAGAAACCTATTTGCATATTGAAGCAGATACACGTTGTTATTTAGATCTAACATAGTACTATGCTGTATTAATGGATAATGTTGCAATAGGCAGCATCTCTATCCCTGCCTTTTGCACCTCTAAGTGAAGTTGAAATCTCTTAAGTTTTGTAAGACTTTCTTTCATTACATTGTGCTGTTCTTTTTCTTATCTTTCTGTCAATGCAGCTTGCACAAAATATGTTACCCCATAGAATCATAGTGATAGTACTGTAGCTTGGTTTGGTTTGAGGGGCTATCTTTATTCACTGTATTCCTTCTAAAAAGCATGCTCCATCTATGCTTTTCGAGCTTTGTAATGAAACATATCAAGAGCAGTTATAGTAGTTTAGAGGCACTTTTTTCTGACTATTTCAGGCAGTCATTTCTCTATTTTGTGCTTCTTCGTGAACTTTCAACAGCCTCTTTTATTTTTTCTGTGATCGCAAGCAGTTTTTTGTAAGCTCCTCTGCAGTTACTTTTTATTGTTTAAAAGAGCAAATAAATTAATTGGTTATTATTTAAAACATCTGCAGTGGCCTCTCTCCATTTTTCCTAGGTATATATATTTCCCTCATTGAGAATGAAACACTGTAAGGTTTGTCAGGTGGCTTCTGCAGTGGGAAAAGGGAGGGTTTCTTACTGCTGGAAGGCGAAGATAGCTTTGGACTCTTTCCTAGAGTATGTTCCAGCTGGCTCCACCTCTCCCAGATGTTGGTTCCTGACTATCTCTGGCTGGGAATCAACTGCAGAGGCAGACTGCGGGGTGGAGAGCATATGGCTTTGATACCAGAATAGCCCCATGCTGAGACGTGCCTTGGGGTGGGGAGCATGAGGCTTTTGTCTGCTAAGACCGGGGTGGGGGAGGACTCTTATTAATCATCGGGGAGAGACCAGAGGTGGGTGGGGTAACAGCATGTGACTGGGAGGGAAAGGAAGGGCCCAGAAAGGTAGGTGGGATTGCTGCAGGCAAAGAAAAAAGAGGAATAGGATCAAAATTTGCTCTGTTCCTGTCCCTCATTTAGAACCGTGTAGGCATGTACTCTCATGCTTCAGATTATGTGGCCCAGTTCTTAGAGACTCTTCCTTTACTGGCTGTCTTGTGTGTTGGCTTATAAGAGCACCTGTATTTTGTCTGGATTTTTCAGACTCTGTTCCAATTCTCACTTTTTTTTAAAAATGTTGCTTCCTGCTTTTACCTTTTTCTTAAATAACCTTTGTAACTTCAATTCTGATCTAAGCTAGACACCACTGGATGCTTTTACTACTTTTATTTTATATTTAGACCTCTTTAATACTGAGTTTATAAATTACAGATAAAGTGCTGAGCTGTATTTCATTTTATGTAGACATGAGCAGGGTGGAGGAACCAAGCTCCAGAATCAAATTCCACTCCCAATCCATCATTTCAGCTAATGATACTTACCAAAATAAAATGATTTAAAACTACCACATTCAGACTTGAACAAAAGGAGGGCTACACTGGCAATGTGCCAGGAACTTATGGACCTCACCCCCACTTTTGCATAAAATAAAATAAAGCAGATCTGACACACATAGCTCACACTTCTGTGTTGAAAATGAGAAATCAGAAGTGCCACTGTACATTGCTGTGTCTTCAATAACCGGTAGGCTACACTTCCTTATAAGAGATAGGATCAGAGACAAAATACAATATTGAGTTCCTTGTGTTATGTTCAGATACTTTAATATTTTATTGTTCTGCAAAATCTGTTCCATCTTTATTCCATCATATTTCTTAGCTTCTATAATGGCTGTTCTTAATGTTTGGATTTACTAAATTTAATGATATTGTTTGGCGTTCTTTATAATATATTTTCTTCCTACAATTTCAGGGGAAGATATTTACTTCAATGGAGCCAGAATATGATATCAATGATGTCTGCCTGTATCCAAATTCAGGTACATTAGATACATTAATGTCTTAGTAAGTTCAAAAGGGAAAGCTTGTGTTAACCCAAGCTGTGGTCTTTTTTTCTGTTTAGGTGATGTGAACTAGGTCCACTTTCCTCCTTATGACAGAGCTAGGAAAAAATGGTTACTTGTCAGTTAGTGTCATTGTTTCCTCTGCATCTGTATTAAATCGGAGCCTCTTTGCAGTTAGGAGCTGCTGTGCTGTCTATTGAGTGATTGACCTCTTTTGCCCTTTCAAAAGTCCTCCGTTTCATAAGAATAGGAATTTTGGCCTTTTGTCTCTGCTAAGTCCCAGATGAGTTAGAGCTTGCTTTCTAGAGCTAGGAAAAATCTCTTTACAGCAAGTTTACAAATTTTTACAAGTGTTTACAACTCTTTGATCTTTTAGATATAGCACTTATTGTGCCCTCCCTGAGATTGAATACTTTGGTTTTAAGTGCACAGATTTGCATGCTTTTTATGACTGTTTTCAGATTTGCTGTGTCTCATCACGTTATGTTTAGAGGTCGAAACTGAAGGTCACTTTTAACCAAAGTTTCCAGATCCTACCTTAGCAGTAAAAATATTTTACAAAATGGTGCTTGTGTGTGCACATGCTTTGGCTGTACCTCAGATTGCAAGTGGCCTTAATTTTCCCTGCTTGATCCGAGTTGCTTAGTTCTTAACTAGTATGTGACACCTACTTCCTTTTTAGAAGGCAGTACTGAAAAAGACGAAATAAAAATTAGGGCCGCTAGGATGGCACAGGACAAGATTCTTGATCCAGAGAATGCCTATGTTGCAAACTCTGCTATTTTCATTTTAGAGAGAGGTAGCAGTGAAGACAGAGTGACTTGGACTTTGATTCATACTAGCAGCTCAAATTCAAGATTGTAGATAAGTGAGTTTGAGATTTCTAACGAGTTAAAACTTATCTCGTCTTTTCTGCCAACTTCAGTTAAGAATGTGTCCTTTTTTTTTTTTTTTTTTTTTTTTTGTAAGCTGAGCAGTTAAATACTGATCCCTACTGAGATGGTAGGCATTTTTTACCTTATGCAGCAGCAAAACTGTAATGGTCTGCAGGACTTTGCTGATGAAAATATTAACTCGCTTCCATGCTGCTCAGGTTTAGCCCCCTCTGAAACAGACTGGTGTTTTGCTACTTAGGAATTGGGCTAGGTTTTTCTGCGCCCTCAAAAAGGCATCAATACCATTTTTATTTGTGTTCCATGTATTTGTTTTTCCCAGATCAAAGTGCCAGAAATAATGCAAGCAAAGACTTAAAGCCTGCCAAAACAGGGACTTTATGGCATGGCGCTGAGGGTACATCTCGTGTGCCCTCGTTGTTTGTGTGAGTTCCTTTTGGGATATCTGAGAATAACTGTATGGTAAAAGTGTGGCCTGTGCCACATGGTCTTCTCTCATCCATAGTGGCTACAGAGGGAGGTCATTGGAGTGAATTATCTTTAGCATTTCATCCAGGTTTCACCTTTGAGCTTACTGATTTTATCCAAAAGAGAACCCAGGAGTGAATTAACATCCATGCAGCGTTGATAATGAAGGGCTCATGACAGGGAGTGAAACAGAAGTAAGTTACTTGACAGTGTAGAATCTTAGTGTAATTTAGGTTGGAAGGGACCTCTGGGGGTTGTATATTTCCTGCTCAAAGCAGGGCCAAACTTGAAGTTGGCTCCAACTTCGAAGCCTGATCAGGTTGCTTAGGTTATAACCAGTCAAGTTTGAATATCTACAAGGATGGATGTTAGTCAACTATAGATGCTCTATAGCCTCTCTGGTATGTAGACATGCCTTAAGTGCTTTGCAGAAAGAATTTTGTAGCGCAAAGAATTGAAGGCACATATCTCCCTAATGTTGCTTATTGGACATTACTTTTTCATGTGTCTGTGGTACGGATTGTGCATTCCAGTCCTGTGTCCCGCATCTCCTCCTTAAGTCAGTTCTGCTTTTCTTACTGTTCTTTCTTCAACCATGTCTGTTAGAGGAGCAGGTTGATGTCTTTTGGTAAGAACTGTTGTGGGATGAAAACTAGGTTGTATTTTATAATCATATGGAAGACAGAGGGGAAAACTAGAACACGTTGCAGTGAAAATTAAGAGACTTAAGGTAGGAAGTGGTGCATTGCATGTTTGTCATAAATACTGTTGCTGCAGAATTTAAGATGCCTAGCACCACCTCGTGCTCATTCAGAATTTAAAGAATAATTATGTTTGAGTATCTGAAAATAAGGAAATACTTTCAGTAATAGGAACTTGCAGTTGTGGAGAGCTGGAAATACAACATAATTTAAGTATCCGTATGACTATGGCTCAGTGTCACTGGTGCCCCAGCATTCTCAGAGCACCCCTGGATGTTTGTGAAGCCAGCATGGCACAGGAAGCCCAAGAGATACTTGCCTAGCTTGTGCTCTAACAGTTTGTGTGACACTGCTGCTCAGAAAGCCCATGTCCTAATCTCACCCTTATGGTCTCATATTCGCTTGAAACAGCTGTGCAGTTCATCATTGCATGGAAGGAAACGCTTTTGTATTTTATTTCACTGATGTGGGTCAAAATTCAGAATTTGTTTCATACACTTACACGTTTTGTTTCAAATTGAAGAGAACAATTTCAGAAATGTCATGAACCAGAAGTCACTGAATCTACATTTAGAATGCTTTTGTTTGGGGAAAATTGTTGTCTAGTATGTCTAGACATTTTACTTTTTCATTTTATATTTATAATTTTATTACAATAGTTGTAAACAAGTTTTGTTTTAAAACCACAGAAGGTAGCTGATACTTTGTATTAATTGCAGCCCTATTTTACATCAAAATGTCTGCTGCATGTGCAGTAATGAAATAATTTTAACACTGCATTGTCACAATTATGAAAAAAGTAAAAAAAAAAAAAAAAAGACTTGGCAAAGTGAAACTACGCTGTAACATTCTGAAATATTTATGGTAAACTGTGGATCAGGATAATGTGAATTATGCTTTTTCAGTAGTTTTGTGGGAGTTTTGTTGTAGTTGGGTTTTTTTAATTAAATTATTTTACCAACCAGCTTCAGTACTACTACCTTTCATGGGAAGCAAACCCTTGTGTATCTTTGACCAAACTACATGGTGACAAACTTTAGTGGATCTCTTAAATTAGTTATGAATCTGTTTTCTCTGATCACACATGCACAGAATGGGGCTAGGGGAAAAAAGGTTTACCAGTTACTGAGTAGCCTTGACTCAGCTTCAGTTAAGTTGTACAATATAAATGAAACTCAGCAGCATCTTCAGTGTATAGAAATTTGTGCCTCATTTGTTTCAATTATTGTAAATTTTTTTTTTTAAGTAAAAAATTTGCTTTTTCTGAAGCTGCTTCTCCCATTTAACACTGCTTCATACTCATGTTTTCATTCCTTTAAATTGATGATACTGTATTGTAGACCACTTTCCAAAGATGGTTTTATTAGAACTTTTTCTCTGAAAAAAGAGTTCTCATTTCTTTCCCTTTTAAAGTGATCAGGCTAGGCTGCTGTGTAGTTTGTTAGGGTGTGGTCTCTCTTCCCATAAAAAGTGGTTAAAACTAACAAGCTGAAACAATGAAAACGCGCGGAGTAGACTTCTCCTTTCACAGAGTTGTTCCTTTTTTTTTATTCTTTTATTTCCCCCGTAGTATACGCCCATGTATACTGTTCCAAAGTCTGTTTTTTCCCTCCTTTAATTATTGGTGGAAGACTCTCAAAGAGGAGGTTTTCCCTTTACTGTCATCTTTGAAGCACCTGCAGAATTAATTTCTATCCTTTTATCTCTAGTGATTCATATTCAGTCAACAGAGAAATGCTTTGTCTCCTGAAATAGTAATGAGCATGCTGATATGTTAAGGGAGTGTGTAATCTATATACTATAGTATATACATGTAGTACATTTTGTGTGTGTGTGTATATATGTATATATACTACAAATTCTTGCTTTTTCCTTAAATTGCCTGCAAACTTTTCCAGGTATGGTTTTTAGCCTCAGTTTGCTGACTAAGCTTTCACAAATTCCTTGCTTTGCCAGGAAAGCAAGCCCCCTTTTTTCTGACATTGTAAGTCCAGCTGCATTGTGTATTTTTAATGAAAGGATTAGGTAGGAAGGATTACTCCACCCATGTTAATTGCGTTCCTCTAGTTGGGTGTAAATTATATTTCTACCCTCTGGGTGTGTAGTAATTGACCCAATTATTCATAGTCTCAGTGGCATATGTTACATTACTTTTAGATCAGAATGTTATCTAACTTGATTGCTCTTTTCTTCATATTCCATCTCTTGTGTTACCTGGTGATGAGCTATGTTGGAAAGACAAAATTGAGATAAATGTAAAGGTATATGCCAAATGTCCTTATTACTCCCTTACATAGAAGGAAATTGAGAGTATTTCTCATTTTGAACTTAAATGAAGTTGTGTGGCAGTTGGAGATTTTCCATGGATTTTAATATTTCTACAGTAATTTTTTGATATTCAGAGTATTTGCAACCCTTATTCACAGTGTTTCTTAGGTATATTCATAGGTATTTCAAATTTTACATTTGCCCTGGTTGGCTAACATCACTAATATTACTATATTTGAAGCCACAATATCCTGTCTCTCATTTTGTGTTGACAAGCTACTGTTGTGCTGATTTCCCAAGATGAAATAACGAATAAAGTTGTAAACATGATTTATGACTTTGTTTAGACTATAGGTGTGTGTTTAAAAACAAAGCAAAACAAAAAACCAAAACCCCCTTGTATTAACAATACAAGTTTATGCCCAAGGTAGGTTTTAAGTGCAATACTAACTGGATTTGTTCTAAACAGTATTATGGGAAGCACTATTTAAATTTGTTATGAAAATTGGCAGCCTGTGGTTGTCAGGACTTAGCGTTGCTTGATGGTGCTGAACAGTTGTAAGATAGAGGACAAACAGTGATGAATATGTAGGAAACGAAGCTTCATTAATTGTGCATCTATCAGACCTTTCTTTCCTTAGCATTTGACGCAACAATTTATTATGGGTCCCAATTAGCTGTTCCATTGCAGGCCGAGAATATGTACTGTATGAGCTACAGGTAATGTGCTTTCACCCCGCCTCCCCTAACCCATGAAGG